TCCCACCTGCTCGGGAGTACTCTCCAGCTGAGCCTGCTGGAGGTGTAACAGCACAGCTCTGAACACATGTCATGGTGGTCACTCCTCTGTTGGGGAGTGTATGGTGGCAAAGTAGTTCCTGTATTAGAAAGCTCTTCCATGCCTTGATCTTTGTCTCTGAAGCACATTTATGTACTCTTTGTCCCTCCCTCCAGCCTCTGACCTCTAATTACACACACACACACACACACACACACACACACACACACACACACACTCCAAATTAATTTCCCTTTCCTTCAGTAGTTGTGCACAGTAGAACAAGCCATACATCCCCATTCTCCTCATGACAAGGTACCATGCTCCACTGGGGACAGTCAGCAAGCATTCAAAGTAAGATAGCCTGTAGTGTGCCACAGAGGGCCTAGAAATGGGTCTCTGAGACACCTTGAGGGCTAGAAGATGATGCTGATAGCAGTGTCAGGGCTTGGCTGGCCATGAAGGCTTCCCAGTTTTCACATAAAATCTGATGGGTTTACAGACATTTGCTATGGCTTGACTGATTTTTTTTTTTCTGTATAGCCTTGGCTGTCCTGGACTCACTTTGTATACCGGGCTAGCCTCAAACTCACAGAGATCTGCCCACCTCTGCCTCCCTGAGTGCTGGGATTACAATATAAATGATCAAGCCAGTTTACAGAAGAAAGATTTCACTTATGGTTCCAGAGGGTTAAAAGTCCATAAAGGCAGACAGAATTGTAGCAGCCAACATACACAGGCCGAAGGCAGGAAGCTGAGAGCTCATGGCTTTAACTGAAAACGTGAAACAGAGAGAAAGCGTGACCTGGAAGTAAGGCAAGGCTATCTACTCTCAGAGCTGGTCCTTAGTGATGCATTTCTTTCAGCAAGGCTGCACCACCTAAGCGGCCCCAATCTCCAAACAGTACCTTCACTTGGGAACCAAGTGTTCAAATACCTGAGTCTATTGGGGATATTTTCCTTGCAAACCACCTTAGGCTGATTTAGCTCTAGTCCTGTTATGCATCTATGATACGGGAAACATAAACAAATGATTCTAAATTTCATTAATTCCTGGTTTATTATTATGTAAGTCTCTTGTGAGATAAGTGCACTTTTTAAGGGCTATTTATTCTCTTATTCTCTCCTTTCTTCCTTCCTTTCTTTTCTCACTCATCTCCCTTATTCATGATTGTGAATTTTACGGAGATATTCATGCCCCTCTGGCTACATGGAAATGCAGTAATTATTTACTAAATTTGAAGTTAGTATGAAAAAGAAGAACAATGCCCTTTGCAATCATCTCCTTTTCCATGTTCTGATTTTCCAACTTGTAATATAAAGATGGTAGACACACTTTATCTTCCAAGTCCTGGTGGCCATCAACATGCCTGAGATCTTTACTTTTTGTTTTTCTTTATATTTTGTAAATGATAAGAAACCTGGGTCAATTCTGCTTGTTAGGCTCTTATTGAACATCTGTGTGGCCTTCTTGCCTGGCCAAGAAGGCCACATCTTGTAGACCAGACTGCTATTTAAATCCCTGTCAGGCCAGACAAACTTTGGTTAAAATTATATTCTGTTATTTCGTCATGTGAATGTGGAACTTGCTATTTTTAGTTCACACCCTGCACAATCCAGCTATTCATGGCAGAGGGTTCACCACAAACCTTTGGAGTTGTATTTAAAAACAAACAGCTCCAGAGAAGCAACACAGAGGTCTCTTTCTCAAGAAGCTCATGACATCAGGAAGAAGGACAAGGTCCCTTTCCCAGTGGTAAACATGGAGTTCTGGTGGCTTTGAAGTGGGAGGAAAAAGTGAAGAAAGCCTGCTTGAGTGTTTACTTAGATGGTAGACTCCTTAGTCCTTTGTACGTACTTATTACTAGGCTCAAATATTAACGACTCTGATAGAAATTGTTCTTTCTCTTCACCTTCTTCAGACCCATTTCTTCTCTGACTTCCTGTTGTCTGAATAGGAAGTGAAAAGGGAATGAAAGGAGCAGCCTTTAATTTGACCCAAGAAGCAGTCTCTCCATTTAAAACCACTCTTAAGTGATGATGGAAAGCACAGAGACCGGACACTGTCCTGGGTGCTTTGAGGGATGATGTCTGTTCATTCATATATATTAATTAAACCTGAAACATGGCTAAGCATGCTGATATGTGCCTGTTTAATTTCAGCACTTAGGAGGCTGAGACAGGAGGGTTCTGAGTTCCAGGCCAGCCTAGTCTACGCAGAGAGTTCCATACCAACTTCACTACATAGTGAGTTCAAAGTCAGCCAGGGCAGCATAGTGAGACCCTGTCTTATTAAAAAAGGTCAAGGAAAGTAATATGACCTTAGATGGGGCATTAGCTATTAGATACAGTTATCTGCAAAGGTGAGGGAGATATTCAATCTACTCGGATACAGAGGGCAAGACATTTTTCAAGAATCTGTTGAGGAAATATCTTCCTTATCGTTCTCTCTCTCTCTCTCTCTCTCTCTCTCTTTTGCAATTCATAGATAGATGTGCCATTGTATCATAGCTCAATAAGCTATTTACCATTCAGTAACATTCTCAATATAAATAGGCTCACTGAAGGTCAACGATACATAGAATTCTGCTCTGGCTGACAAAAAAAAGAAGTGTAGACGATGGAGATCTTATTCATTGACCCAGTCATTCAAAACTACCAAGGTAGCTCATAATCAGAGTGATTTCTTCTAGAAAGCTGATGATGTCTTTCTAAGATGCAAACATACACACACACGCACACACACACGTGTGTGCGTGCACATGTGTGTGTGTGTGTGGCACAAGCAAGACAGGAGTAACAATTCACCCCTGGTTTTGAAAATTAAGATAGAAAAAAAAGGCTTTATTTTATATAGACTCTGTCTCTCTCTCTCCCTCTGTGTATGTGTGGATCAGACTTTGGTGTATGCCAGGTAACTCACAAAGTGGGACTTGCAAACATAATGCTAAAGTACGAGGGATTCATCGGTGTCATGTGCAGGTTTCCATAAGAGTGCAACAGGGTTTCAAGGAAGGAGAGGTTGATAGTCGGTGGTAGGGGAAAAGAGTGGGGAGCGGCCAGGAGAAGCTGTCAGAACAAGGAAGGATGGATGGGGTTGACTTTGGTTTGGAGTAAGGCTGAAGACAAAACGAAGAGGGAGAGAAATTCCCGGGGAGTTATCAGAGGCCAGATCTGTGTTTTGTAAAGATCCCGCGGAAGGGGCTGGAGAGATAGAAGGCTCAGCTCTTGCAGTAGAGGAGCAGGCCTAGCATGCTTGGAGCAAGCTCACCTTTATCTGGACCGCAGCCACTTCCAGAGAATCTGATGCCCTCTTGCGACCTCTGCAGGCACCAGGCAAGGATGCAATGCACGTACATGCAGGGAAACATTCACACAAACTACTCACCACACACACACACACACACACACACACACACACACACACACACACTCGAAAGTTTCTATCACCAGCAGAAGCTGATACAGCTAATGGCTACTTAAAGTGTCATTCCTTATAGCTAACTGCTGGTCATCCAGTCTTATCTCACATAATTCCTAAAGCAGCCTATGACGATGTAATTAGTATTATCCTATTGCACATGGGAAAAGTACGCCAGAACCTGGATGTCCTTTCCAAGTCTTACAAGATAATGTGAGTTTTCAGTGATGAGAACTCAGGTAAGAAAATTAAAAGCCACTCCCCCCACCTCCCAGACAGGCTCACCAGGGGTCAACGGGCCTTCTGAAGTGTTTGAATTACATGAACGTTAAAACCACATCTGCTATCCTGTCAAGAGGACTACACCAGTCTTGCCATGAAAGCCCTAGTTTCAGTCAAGTCCTCTGGCTGATCCCTGTCCACCCACATCCTTGTCATTCCGGTCTGGCTAACAGTGAGTGCTCAAATTGTCTTAGCCAATTGGGAGACTTTCTCTCTTTCCCATCTTCATTGAACCCTGGGGCAATTCATTGTTTTACCTACCTCCCCCACATCCGCATTTTGATTCCTGTCTATATACGCTAGAGTAGGTTGGTTCTCATTAATCTGGAGAGTGCACATTTATGTTAAGTTGAATGAGTTGTTACCCAGGAAAACTAATTAGCTAGGGCAAAGGTAAGGACACTTGAGTGGTTAATTGGGAGTGTCTATACGAGGCAGGATAGGCACCCCGTTTTGATTCGCTAATTTTACCATACTTGGCAAAAAATCTAGGCAAAAAAGGACAGAAGATACATTTCGTATTTTTCCACCTTCTCAAGGTACTGAAGTTCTTGGGTTGGAGATTGGAAACGCGCCCACAGAGACGTTCTCGCCTGGGACACCGCCCTAAGATCAGAGTAGGAAGACTCCTTTCTCCTTGGATGCGCCTGGCAAGCCCTGCCCCTAAGGGGGGGGGGGGGTGGAGGAGGAGGTGGTGGCTGTGGAGGTGGAGAAAGAAAGCGTCCACACCACGCGCGTCAGCCGGAGTACAGACTGGCAAGTGATCCGGGAGCGCGAACCTCTGCCATTTATTTATTTTTTTCCTCCCCACCGGGTGCGCTGTCCCTTTAAGTGGGAACGCTGGCGCTGGCTCCTTTACACCGGAGCCCGGCAGCTTGTTGATTTCGGCGCTGGTGAATTTCACATTGTTTCCACTTCACTTTCCTTGCCCCGGGGGAGGCTCCGGTCGGCTCCCGGACGCCGCCGCCGCCGCTATCGGCCAGGGCTCGTGGGCGGGGAGAGCGAGGGGCCCGCAGCAGCGCAGCGGGCGGGGGGGACCCGAGGACCGGGTGCCGGGGCCACACGCGCACCTCGCCGCAGTCGGGCTCCTCCCGCGGAGGAGCGCGGCCGCCCGGAGCGCAGCGCGGCGCGGGGGCCCGCCCAGAAGCCAGCCCGCCCACGGGCCGGGCTGCC